AAAATCACATAATCATGATCTAGAGACTTACAATAAACACATTTATCAGATTCATTAATAGAGAAACCAAAGTCTAAAATTACTATCAATTTTTTCATGCCATTATTTAGGAGCTTGTTTAAGACCATATGATGATTTTAATTAATTTGCACACTTTACTTTCTTGTCCCTTAATTGCAAAACCATCTGGTTGATCCATATAAATTTCTTCTTCAAGTTCACCATTTAAAAATGCTGCCTTTACATCCATTTGGTGAATAATTAAATTATGAATAGATGCTAATGCTAGCAAGGTTCATATGGTAGTTATCCTACTTAAAGGGCATATGTGTCAAAGAAATCTATTCCTTTCCTTTGAGAATATCCCTTTGTCACTAATCTAGCTTTGTATTTTTCTACACTATCATCAAATCTGAGTTTCTTTTTAAATAACCACTTGGATCCTATAGGTTTGTTCCTAGGAGGTAAGCTAGTTAATATCCAAGCTTGATTTTCAATAATTGATTTTATTTCACTATCTATAGCCTCCTTCCAAAAAAGTGCATCGATAGAAGTCATAGCCTCCTTAGAAGAGGTAGGATCAGCTTTTACTGAATACATAAAAAATTCTTCTCCAAGGTTCTTTTCAGTTCTATTTCTTTTACTTCTTGGTTCTAAATTTTCAACAGGTTCTGTATTAGTATATTTGTCCATTATTTGTTTAAAAATTTATTTTTATATAGGAAAATTTCCTCAAAATATGTAGCATCTCTAGCTTTATTTATTGTATTATTAGATATTTCATTAATTTTTGAATTAATTACTAAGAATGTATTTGCATTACTATCTAAAGCATATCCAATAAAGATAGAATCTACAGTCTTGGGTCCAATTTTCTTTCTTTTAAGTTTGGGTATACTAACTTTGGCTAAACATCCCCATATTTTAAGATGATTAAATCTGAGAGTTCTCTTTTTCCATAATTCATAGGGAGTTCTATCTGATTTCTTATGAGGTATCCTATTAACTGTATATAGCAAAGCTTCACCCCAAAGATTTTCAGGTGCTTCTAAATTAATTAGTATAGCATTAACATGTCTATTAGGGTTCTATTTTTCGTTCAGCAACACCGTTAGATTGAGCTGAGTAAGGAGGTGTCACTTCATGTATTATTGCATGTTCTTCACAAAATTGAGTCATTTCATTTGAAGTATACTCTCCTCCTCGATCATATCTTATTATCTTAATATATCTATCTAGTTGGTTTTCAACTTCAGCTTTATAAACTTTAAATCTATCTAGGACATCATCTTTAGTTTTAAGGAGATAAATATAACAATACCTAGAGTGATCAGCAATGAATGTCACATAATATTTTCTGCCACCTCTAGTTTGAGTCCTATTAGAATCACATACATCACTGTGAATTTGTTCTAAAAGATCACTGTCTCTGTGTTCTACAGATTTAAAAGGTTTTCTAATTTTTTAGCTTGTACACATTTTTCACACTTAGTGTTTATGTTGGATTTAAGAATTAAACCCATTTTACTCATTTTCTTAGTAGTAACTAGGTTTACATGACCTAGTCTATTATGCCAAAGATTACAAGATTCGGTGTTCAAGATAATAAAAGAAGATGAATAAACATCATCAAAAGATAATTGATGAATAACATTCAATTTAAATGAAACACCTTTTACAAAACTTTTTCCAATGAAAGCATTTTTTTGGTAATTACAATTTTATTTGATCCGAAGAAAATGTTAAAGCCTAACCTAACCAGCAAAGATCCACTAACAAGATTTCTCCTAATAGTCGGCATGAACAGGACATCATGAAAGGGTAAGGATCTTTCCAGATGTCATCTTAAGGTTAATTTGTCTTTTCCCTTTTATTTGTGCCAATCTATTATCTCCTAAAGTCACACCCCCTCCACTTAATTCCTGAAAGTAAATCAGGAGCGATCAGAACAAACATGCACATTTGCTCCATAGTCTAATCACCAATCAGAATAAGGGATAAAATTGCATATGGGAGGTGTAGAAAAAGATCTAAAGGAGGGATTAGAAGTTTCAGCCTCAATTATATTGGCTTGTGGCTTTGGCCCACCATTCTTTTTATATGGCCTTTTGGGTCTAGTCTTGCGGTAGAAGCATAATTCAGTTTGGTGGTTCTCTCGAACACATATGAGGCATAAACTCTTTCCATTGGAAACCCTAGGATTTTGATATTGCTGGTTTGGATTTTTACTATTTTGATTCCTATAATTATTCTCGTTATGCCTCTTGAAATTTTTATTATGATTTGACTTGAAGTGATATTGATTTTTCTTAGGCTTATTTTCAGTTAGATTTACTTTGACTTTGTTCTCAATTTTTGTTTTATTTCTGTTTCTATGTTCATCCTCAGTTCTTTTTGATTGAATAGTCTGGATTAAGGTAAGGTTCTACCAAAATCAGACCAATCAGGAGGGAGTTTATCAATAAGACAAGCCACTTTATGATCTTTAGAGAATATTGTACCTTTAGCTTGAATATATCTAATAAAATCCTAAAACTAATGAAATTGTTCATTTATAGGCTTGTTATCTACGACCACAAATCTATTAAAATTTGAGGAGCTAAACCTTTCAATTCCTGCATCATCAAGAGCATATTCAGATTCTAGAGCATCCCAGAGTGCCTTGGCGCTCTTTATTTCACAATATACAACGTAAAGTTTATCATCAAGAGCACTCAAGATCCTATGGTAGCAATGATAATCAATATCTTCAGGTGTTACTAGTGTAAAACTAGGAGTTGCTGATTTAGATGCAGGGTTGTAGGTTTTGATGCGAAAATTGTAGGTTGTGATGCAGGAGTTTCAGGTGAAGATGTGATAGGTGAGCTAGATGCAGTTGTACCCTGAGATGGAGATCTTCTATAGCTGAGTATAGACCTAGTGTAGTTAGCCAGAATCTCATTTGGTTCTACCATCTTTTAAAATTTATCCTTTAAATTTTTCTTGTTTAGCACTTAAGATTTCATCATTAGGGGACATTTTTATAAGATGAAAAACTAAGGTCCAATGGAAAATAAATAATTTGTAGAGAATGATAATAATGTTAATGCCGATTCTAAAGCTGCTAACAAACTTTACAGCCGCTGCCATTTTTATTTAAATATGGTAACGAAAGCAATAAGTAAATATTATGTAGCCAAAAGTGCTAATAGACAGAATGTAAGAGCAGTAAAGTATCAAAACAAGATAATGAATTAATAATACTCAGATTCTATTTATGTAATTAAATAAATAGACTTAGTCTGGACAATTAAACCGAAGATTCTAAATAGAGTATGACTGACTATTGTTGTCAATATTGGAGTAGAGAAATTCGAATTATTATAAGATAAACTAACTACAATTCTTTAAGGTTTAATCCAAACTGTAATAAGATAATCTGATCTTGTTCTTTTATATATATATATATATATTCACAAGCAATAATTTAATAACTGGAAAGGAAAGCAACTCGGAAATAATCGGATCAGATATGCATAGTGATATCTTGTTGGCTGTTGATTAAACTTTAGAGGTAAATTATGTGCTGAGATTAGATTGACTTGACGGAAAATTATGTGAAATCTAGTTAAGTGAACAGCAAACTTATATATGTATATATCTTTATATTTAAATTATGTGCCGAGTGTCTAAAAGTTATCAAATGAACAGCAACTCATACAAGTGAACAGCAAAATCGAATGAACAGTGACTTATACAAATGACAAAAAAGTCCAATACACAATAACTTATATGAATGAGCAGTAACTCATACGAATGGACAGTACTTATATAGATACCTATTTAGATTGTTCTACTAGAATTCACAAATATTGTTATTTGTTGAAGAAAAATTAGAGTAACAATTTTACCGGTCTCGGGAAAAGCATGGCGAGCCACTGCCCTAAAGAGATATCTGCCGATCTCGTGCGATCATCCAAGGGAAATACTCCTTAACGGTACGATTCCTTTTCTACCAGAACCCTAGCGTGCACGATCATGTTGGGGATGAAGACTCTTGAGTAAGCAGCCAGAAAACTGTAGCAAATATTTGAGAGAGGAAGAAGAAAAAGAGAAAAGGAAGAGTTTCTTCTTTTTGTATCTTTTTTATCTCCTCATAGGGTCTCTTTTTATAAGGGAAAAAGGACCAGAAGGAGAGATTTTAGCCTAAGAATTTCTCACGTTCCTGAGAACGTGAGAAAGCTAACTAATTTTTAATTAATAATTCATTAATTATTTTAGTTATATCTTTATATTTAATTTGGTAGTTATTTATCCAACACATTTTGAAGCCTATCTCTATTTATAAATGACTTGGAACCATTGCTTGACATATGTGCCTTGCTCAGCTTTACAAGTAACGACAGGTTTTGTGCTTTGCAAAATTGCTCAAATTACTGTCTTCGCATTACCTGAAATTCTTTTCTAGTTTAATGACCCCTTTTGAAAAGTTTAATGCCCTTTTAAGACTGTATGATTTATGTTTTCTATATAAACACATAAAATTTCATGTCGTAGACTTTTGAAGCAATACAGATGATGGCATAAGAAGTTACATGCTTCTCACTAATGGGATTTTGTAGTCGTAACTCTCGTATTGATATTCTGTTGAAGGATATAAGACCTTAACACTGGGTAGCTCTTGGGGTGCATGGAAGCTTTAAGCCATTATTTTTTGCTTAGATATTTTCTTTTGCCTAATGAAATTGCATGTTCCAAATAAAATTTATTTAATAATCCTCACTTAGGTTAAGGAACATGACTTGTCTTGATTCGTCTTGGTACCCATGAGTAGCATACACCTGTTCTATTGACATGCCAGCTGTCACCTATCAGTATTTATTGCTTTTTCTTCTGAATGTAACTCATATGTTTGCTTGTATGTCTGTGTTGTACTCATATATTCTCATACAGGTCTCATTACATGTTTTTAGTTGTTCCACTCTATAATTCACTTACTGGTTTCTTAAATTTCTGTGCAGATGTTATGAAGGATCAAGATCAGATCGTTATGCAAGAAACTAATACGACAGTTACAGATATTACCTCACAGCAAGAAATAACTGATATATTGTCAAAGGATCTAAATTGCACACATCAGCTTCGGAATTCTAGTTTTACTGGCTTACATCAACTGGTAGATATATCCGGCGACGTACCCATGAAGGCTCTCACGTACTCACAGTTCCCTAAGTCTGCCCAGAATTTTGTTAGTGCCCTCAAGAAGAATAGATCATGCCAAAGGTTTATTAGGAGGAAGTTGATAGAAATTGAAGCAAAGATTGAAGAAAGTAAAAGACTGAAAGAACGTATAAAATGTCTTATGGATTTCCAACTTTCTTGTAAAAGGAAAATCGGACATATTATATGTCAGAAGAAGGACCCTCGTGTCAGATTAATCTCAATGCAAAAGCAAAGGACATCGAAGGCAATGAAGGTTCACATCCTTGTCTCTAGCCAACCACTATTTTGTTTCCTTAGTTGGGTCATTAAAAATCTTTGTTAAGGGCTATTGCACACAAGTTTATTTGGCTCTACTTTCACCTAATCATGCACTATGGATCTTCCTCAGTTATCATATTTCTTCCTTGCCAGTTATTTAAAAGGCCGCATCGGCCTTCATTCATCTTCACATTTTTAAAGTTTTTTGACCTTATTTTTGTCCAAGTCTCTGATTTCACCTTGTCTTTAATTGACTATACTTCATCTGGTCCACCGTGCTTTTACCTTGCGTCTTTGTATGGTTTCACTTTCTGATACTCTTCTTATGTTCAAACCCTTTTCCAGGTTAGCATAATGGGCATTCTTATTGCATTGTTGTTGTCATTAGAATTTTCCCTCAGCTTCAGAGGTATCTATTGATGAGTTGATAATACCTGTAGGATCTTCGAGAATAGATGGCCTGAAGAACTCCTAAATCTCTCGTCTTTGATTCGATCATTTGAAGCTGAATTTGTTAGGATTTAACTGTTTTTCTTATGTGATTTTTGGATTATAGTTGAGCTAAAAACTACTTATAATCAAGTTTCTGTGAGATAGGATTATGTGAGTTCTACTTGACTCTGATTGCTAGGAAGTCTATTCAAAATTGGATTAGTTTTTTAGTGTTTCAGATAAAAGCCGACTGCTGGAATCGTGTGCTTGTGCACAGCAGATGGTTTCCTTTTTCTTATTTATATTTGGATGTAACCAACTGTCCTTTGGGCCTTGCTAGATATGCACAAATTATTATTATGTATGAAGGTTAAACTATCCGTATTATGTATGCATCACGCATATAGGCATCTCATCGAGTATGGCAATGGATGTGTTTCGTGCAAGTAACAAAGCCTATGATAGGATAATTTAAGATGTATTATCATGATGAACTGTGGTGGATCCCTTTATTGGCTCTAGATCGCAACTTGGCTATTCCCTGAATTAAATATGTCCCACACATGCATGTTTACTTATCTGTAAAGAGTTAATAACCTCAAAATGTTTCTATCCTTCAAAGCTTCCTGCTTGGATTCTCTCATTGTTCCTTACTCTTATGTGGTAAAAATTCTGTGTGCTCTCTGCATATAATATACTTGCATGTTTACATTTGTATGAAGAAAAGTCATAGGTGGATTGTTTCTTTTTAATGTTTAATACAAACCTTCTAACAGTTCCAATGTTATTATTAATATCTTAATCTTCTCTTCTGTGGTAAATGACATGACATCACATCTTATGAATTTATTTTTTTGTCTAGGGTGAATCTGCTACAAAGATCCCGGCTTTGTGTCATGGTCCACCTGAAAATTCTCATGTTTCCAAGTATAAGATGGTATTGAAGAGGTTCCCTCTACCATTTAAAAAACAACATTGGTCAGTTGTAGAGAAGGAGAACCTTGCAAAAGGATTAAAACAACAATATCAAGAGATGCTGCTTTTGAATTCTATGAACTTGGAAAGGTATGTTTGTTGTATTATATTTGGTCTAGGCAGACTCAAACTATATACAAAAACTGTTGGCTAAAAATAGATAATTCAATTTGAGTTCACTTTAAAATTTACTTTTGTCTGTGCGGGCATACTTTTATGGACTCATATCTTGTACAATGTTGCAGTGATTTAGAGAGTTCTATGAATCCGGACATGATGTCTGCTATATTAAGCAATGATCTTGAAGTTACCTCTGAGAAAATCAGATCTTTCCTTCCATTGGTTAACTGGGATCGGTTGGCTTCCATGTATGTTTCAGGTCGTTCTGGCCTGGAGTGTGAATCAAGGTATATTCTGGTGCTCAAAGATCCTGACAGAATTTTCTTGCTTCTTTTGGCACCTTCTGTTATCCTTGATTTGATATTTTTTTCTTGATTTATTGTCGGTTTGATGTTAATAGAGGGAAAATAGGTGGCACAATATTGTGAGGAAGAAGAGCAACACCATTGAGGGGAATTTTAGGAAAAAAGATAGAAATTGAGTGAGTTTTAACAGTTTATTTAATAGCAGGGTATTATAATGGAATAAAAAATGTCAGGGGATTTTCATAATAATTACCCTAGTTCTTTACTTCGACAGGGTACAACTACCTAAATTCAGCCTTATTGATACTTGTTTACAGACCCATTGAAGCTCTGCAAGCTGCCTGATATTGTATCTGAAGTAGTTGTCTGGATTCCTTATGATTTGCAAACTGAAAGGAGTTCTTTCTTGTGAAAAAAGAATGCTTTGGTTGCAGGATTGTTCTTATGGTTCGGATTTTTAATTTAGCCTTTTCTTAACAAGTCGCTTTGCGGTTCCAGCTTAAAAATGTTGGTCTAGAGTCACTCTAAACTTTGATTTTTTTAACAATTACATGTATGCATATGGTGTCTCTCTATGGATGTGTACAGATATGATGCATGCGCAATCATCAACATGACTGCAGTAGATGTTCCCAAGTGTACCATGATCCTAAATACTTATTCGGTTAAGATTGGCCCTTAGCACCGCCTACAGTTCAAAACATGTTTTGATACCTGTAGCAAGAACCAAATCACATACCACCATTTTGGTAGCAATAGAGCAACCACTTCATGATGTACTTTGCTTTCAGTACCGGTACTTACATCCGACAACGGCCCATTATTTATGTATCATGAAACTGGATAAATTGCCCGTTTGCTCAAAAATGGACTAGTTGTTACATCTTAAGGGGATCTTTGAAATCATTTCTGATGTTTACTGTTTGGTTCACATATTTTGATTCTCCTTGGATTCTCTCATTGCCAGAAACTAATACCAATAATTTAGTTTAATTACTCTGTTTTTTCCGCTTCATTTCAGGTGGTTGAACTGTGAAGATCCATTGATTAATTACAGCCCTTGGACCATATTGGAAGATAAGAAGCTTCTATTGATTGTCCAAGAACGGGGTATTTACAATTGGATTGACATTGCAGTTATGCTAGGGACCCGAAGAACTCCATTTCAGTGCTTGGCACGGTATCAGAGGAGTCTCAATCCTCATATTCTGAACAAGAACTGGACAGAAGATGAGGATTTTATGCTTCGTACAGCTGTGGAGATTTTCGGTGAACATAACTGGCAACTCGTAGCTTCTAACCTGGAGGGCCGTACAGGTACTCAATGTTCTAATAGGTCAGTCAACATCTCACGTATTGTTTCTTTAGTTGTCTTCTCTTAAAATATTTTCATATAATTAGCCAAGATTACCAATATTTCCACAATGAAAAATCATCCACTATAGATCTAGGTGCTACTATTCACGGTCGTTTCCTGTTGAAGTGACTTTTCCATCAAGCAAGGAAGTTTGTTCTCTAAAAGAAAATGCAGGGTGTGGTAGATCTTCTGCATCATGGCCAATGGTGTAATGAAGATGTCACATATAACATGTTTGTTTTATAAGAAAACAATGTTTATCTAATAGTTGTTATGAAAGTTTCTTTGCCAATCTAGTTCATTTTTAAGAATACAGAACAAAATTACTTATGACCATACTGAAAAGGATAGTGGATGATGATGGTCATGACTCATGTGCCGATATATAATACTTCCCTGCACTATTATCTTTGTTCATCGTCATCAAGCATATGTCACCAAAACTGCTTGTTCAGGTAGGCTCACAGCTTCATGTTTCAAATTCAACACAGAACTTGTGACTTACTGGCATGACTTATGAGTGTCAAGTCAGTAAGATATATAGGACCCAGTCTTCATCTGAATCCTTATATTTTGATCTTGCATATAATTAAGCTAAACAATACTATATGTCTATATGGCTATAGTTATTTTTTAAAGTAAATTACTGCCTGTTGGAATTTATTTTACATATATCCTTTTGTTGCATCTTTATTTATGGTTAATGAAATGCTTGCACTGCAAAATGAATTTTTTTTGATACAACTATATCAGTTAGTTGAGACAATAAAAAAACTTATGATTTAGGCACATAGTTAAACTTGAAACATAACTTCATAGCAAATGGGAAAATCTCCATGAGCTCAATGTATTTAAAATTCTGTAAAGTATTTGCATGCACATGCAGTCTAAAGAGATACAAAAAGTGAGGTTCTACATTTAGCTTTTATTTTTTGTCCTTTTCAATAGTAAATTAAAATCCAATATTTTTGTTGTCTTAGAATATAGAACTAGGGAATTAGAGGAAAAGTTGGAAAAGAAAATAGAAGAAAGATGCAGTAAGAATTAGGGGAGATCAGTCTTATCTCTTTTATATGTTTCTCCACAATGGCTTTAATACTTGTAACGATTACAGTCAACTTTTGAAACCAAAACTTTTACTTTTTTGGATCTTCTTAAAAAAATTATAGTAAGTACATATGTAACTTTCTGTAGTTCGTCACAATTATGTCGTGTAATTTTAGGGTTAAATTTTATTTTGGCTTTCTCTACGAGCGACTCATTTGTTCTAAATTTTCTGGCTTCAGGCACTTGTTTTTATTTTTTCGATTTCATGATTTCACCAGCTTTAACTAAATTACTGGATGCTATTAGCTAAATGTTTTAGTGAACTGATTATATTAAGAACTCTAAACTGAGTTTCTTTCAGTTGCTCTATCTATGGAGAGTTATTTTATGCCTTGACTAGCACATTATTCTGGCACTGCTGCTTTGAATCTACAGATAGTCACGTCAAGGGAATCCTGTTTTTATTGATAATTATTAAACAATGCTTTTTTATTTTATATCCAGAAATACAAGTAAAGAACTAGGTAATAGTAAAGAACCAGGTAATAGTAAAAATTTTTCTTTATTAGTCTTTGTAATATAAAATATATGGAATTATTCATGTCCCAATAAATGAAGGATAACATATTATTTTAAGCCTCCTCTTTCCACATAAAAGGCATTCTAGATGCCATTTTTCTGTTGATAGATCATCCAACTGGTCGAGCTTATTGTTATAGGGAAGAAACTAAGAAAGTAACCTAAAGAAATGACAAACCATCATCATCTGGGTAGTGAAGTGCTTCAAGTTGGATAGTCAAGTAAGATAGGCAATCTTGAATCGATACCTGAGGTCCTGAACCACTTGCATCTGATCTTCTGTCTGCTTATGTTGTTACCTTGTATTTGTTGTGATCATATTGGTGCTGAATCTTTCTCTACTTCAATGTAACTCAATTTATATAACACTATATGAAGGTGGCTTAAAACTCTTAACCCTGAGAGGAGAAAAGTGGGGAGATGGTCTGTGGATGAAGATAAGCGCTTGAAAGTGGCTGTGATGCTTTTTGGAGCCAAAAACTGGAAAAAGATAGCTCGTTTTGCTCCTGGTCGAACTCAAGTTCAATGTAGAGAAAGGTAATGTCTGTATTTTTTTTCCTTTCCCAAAACCGCATACACGGTTTCAGTAATTTTGAGAAGCTTGATTCTGGTAGCAGGTGGCTGAATTGTCTTGATCCCTCGTTGAAGCTTGAAGCATGGACTACAGAGGAGGATGACAAGTTAAAAGCAGCAATAGACGAGCATGGATATAGTTGGTCCAAGGTGGCAACTTGTGTACCTCCACGTACTGACAATCAGTGCATGAGGTAGAGATATAAAATATTGCTGTTCAGTACTTTTCATTTTTGAATATGATGTATTTCTCATGATTCCGATCATAATTTGCAGGATTAGCTTCTTAATCATATAGGTTAGCTTACTTGGTTGCTCATATACGTTTTTTGTTTTGATATGCAGGAGATGGAAATATCTCTTTCCAGAGGAAGTGTCACTGCTTCGAGAAGCTCGGCGGTTGAAGAAGACTGTTCTTATATCAAATTTTGTAGATCGAGAGAGCGAGCGGCCTTTAATTGGACCAGGTGACTTCTCATCACTTGTAAGTACTCCTGCAGAATGTGGAAATAGCAGCAAGGGCAGCAAGAAAAGGTCAAGGTATATCTTTAGGATGCTTCTGCTGTTCTACTGTGTAATGAAATTAACTATTACTTACATCAGTTTGTATGTTCCAAACTGATCATATTTTTATATAAACAGAGAAGGAGCCGAAAGGGAGAAACAAAGGGAGGTGTCACGGTAAACATAAATTTTACTTCCTTTGTTACCATCTTCCACCCCACTTTATACTATTTTCTCCTTGTCCCTTAACATGTTTCTTTTCCCTCCTTTGATTAATGTTACAGTAATAAGAAAAGCAAGAAGTCTAGAGCTAAGTCCAGAAGGTGTTCTGAAGAAAATATGTCAGGCAATAACTCTTTGAACTCCGGCGAAGCTCCTTTTACTGACTCACTAATAATGCTGAAAATGGGACTACTAGGAGGAGAAGGAAGAGAGTTTCAAGGTATTATAAACTAGTAAACCTGGATTTCCGGTATTTGTTCATAAATATTGTTTTTTTTTCACATCACTTATTTATTTCCACATCACTTTGTCCATGGAAATCAAGGCTTAGTAAACAATTCAAAAATAAATCCATATGTAGAATTTACATATTAAGTCATTACTGCCCCTCTCTAATTTGCATTCAACTGTTATTGCAGGGGGAATCAACCAAATAACTCTGCAGTCAATTTGATGGAGACGCAGGATGAAAGTGTAACCGCAAACAGTACATTATGTACAACTTCCGTTGCTAGGTATTACACATCAAGCCTTTTGTAATATTATTGAATCCTATGTGCTACCTTGTTGGTTTAAAAAAAAACCAGCAACAGAAACCCATAGTTTCTATCTATTTTTCTAACATAAGATTCTTAGGGTTTTCTTTCTTTATACATGGAAACTTTGCAAATTGCTTATTTGCATGTTATTGATGAATTTACAGCCATAACCAGCCAGATGAGTCCGGATGCATGTCTAGACAACCTCCTGATGTCTTACCTGCATATAGCACAGTGAATTCCTCTGAGGTTGATCCTCTTGGATTATCTATTGGGCACAACATTGATACTGGTGAAAATGGCAATGTTAGTGAGACAATACCAGGAACATCAAGGTATTTATTGTGGATTAAGACTTTTTTTACTCCTCTTGAGCTTGTCTGCAGCTATTTCCATCTACATCCTTGGTTACATTTCTTCCATTTGTGTCGTTAATACTATGAGCTTTTACTTTTGTTCCTTTTTCTCTGCATGCCTGAACATATAAGTTTGGTGACCTTTGCCATGTCGCTTGTGCCCATGTTCATGATCCTTATTTCTCCTAAGTAGATTGGCTCCATACATCTGAGGTGCATTCACTTAGGCACTATCCATCTCAATCCCCACTGCCTTTAGGTATTCCCTCTGGTGCTTGTGGCATGGGTCGAATAGGTTGCAATGTATACAATTATGAACCAGAGGTTTCCAAAGAGACCACCGTAATACATTTGAGGTGCATTGAGTTACTGATAATGCCCCTTGTGCCATTAGGCATTGCCTCTAGGATGTGACATGCAGAGCATGATCCTATCTTGGTCAGTTTCTGACTTCATCTGTGACCCACTAGATCTACAGGATGTAGGATGCATAAAAGTTGCTTTTGGAATGTCATCTGTTCTTTCGTTTGTTTTTCCCAGTGAGAGTTTCCTTCCCTTGAAGGTGCTATTCAGTTCCTTGTTATACAGTGTCCTGCAAATTCACTGGCTTACTTTTTCTATTGTGATTGTCTCTTTAAAAAGGATGACTAACTTCTACTCTCTAGATAATTACTAGGCTAGTTTAACTTTCCTTTTTCTATATGGATGAGTGCTTATTAGTTGCCTACTATGTTGTTTTCTACACCCAAATATTATAGAGAAAGAGAACTCTACAAGCAGATGGTATTGTTATTTCTACTCTTTTGGATGTACTACCTGTAACTTCTGCAAACCAGGGTGCAACTCGGATTGGCTGGGTTCGTTTAGTGTTGGCTAAGGTCTAACAGCCTTTGCTCTAACCTAACCCACACACCGTTCAGGTAACTTAAGTCCAACCAGGTTTGATGGGGAGATCTTACATGAAGAAGTTCATTGTTAATAACTTTGTCTGACCTTGAGCACCAGTTTCTATGATCCAGATCTACTCATAAAGAAAAGTAAGCTACATGTTAAATTATATAACCATCTCTTGTCCACCTTTAAAGATAAACAATTAATATGTTATCCTGCAAACCTTTTTTCAATGTTAGTGAATGCATTCTAGGCAGCCATTTGGTTTGGATGGTACCTTAGAAGTGAATGCAGTTATAATAAATTTGTCATCTCTTGCTTTTTAAATTAGACTGTATTTTGGAGGGTTTCTCCTTGCTTGTCCATAATCAGTAAGATTTATTTTCTTCTGTGCCAATCG